CCAAATTCTTATTTGGGTCATGAAATCTATCAAACTTCTAATCAAGTCATATGACTCAAAGAGGGATTTTAAAATTTTATGAAATGATTCTATTACCCTTTCATTAAAAACAAAAAAAATCTAAATTAACATGTTTCATTTTGTAATTAAGACATTTCAATTTCAAATTAACAACATTCTATATCCATACCATATTTGCAATAAATCTTTGAATAAAACTTAATCACAACACAACCTTAAAAATTAACATATTCCGTTTCACAGTTAATATGTTTCACTTCTAAATTCACAATATTTTGTCTTCATAACATATTTGCAATAAGTCTTTGAATAAAAATGAATCACAATACAACCATAAAAATTAATATGTTCTATTTCACAGTTAAACACGATTCAATGATAAATTAGCAACTTTCTGTTCTCATAATACACTTGTAATAAGTCTTTGAATAAAACTTAATCACAATGCAATCTTAAAATTAACATGTTTCATGTTATAGTTAACATGTCTGAATTCTAAAGTAACAACTTTCTATTAGGATGAAACTATCATAATTAAAGGAGAAATATTTAAGGTAAAAACTAACTCATCATTGCTTCATCAATTTTTTGACTTTGTAATATAAAATGTCAAGTTTTCCTCATTTAGAGATCTTACACAATGTGAGAATGATAGAAAATTCTCATCTCACTACAAAAAACAGCTCATTACTGACAGAATTAGCGACGAAAAATTATTTCATCACTAATTTTTGACGGTATCGACAAAAATTCTATCACTAAATTTAGCGACGGAATTTTTGTCCTTTGCTAAATTCTATTGCTAATCCGTCAGAACATCCGTTAGTAAATATTTAGAGATGGAATTTTTTCCATTGCTAAATTGTTTGTCACAGAAGTTTTCGTCACTAATTCCGTAGGTAATTCTATTCTGTCACTAATTTTAAATTTCATTATTTTAGATTATAATCTTACAACAATTTATATAATAGCATAATTAAGAATATAATGATTTTAATATATTTTTAATTGTAAAATAAATTGATATATTTGTGGAATTGTTGTTAATGAAGGTATCATCATTCATATCATTGTTAGATATATACTGAGAATAGGAAGTCAATTTCTTAGAAAACTTGTTTATATTTCGTTAAAATCAATTCTTGTTGATTATTAATAACTTTCTTATACAAATTGATATAAGAAAGAAATAATTTTATCATATGTCCAATATATTAAAAGATATAATATATTGTAGAAATTAAAAACCAAAAAATGAATTTATATGAACACAAACTAATATTGAAGTGAATTTTGAATTTTAATCATTAAACAATAAAATTTAATCATAATATAATTAATACCCATGATATAGATTGATTTTGGTCTTTAATGCAAAAACAAATGGTATATACAAAGAATTTTAAGAAAATAAATTACATAGGATACATATACAAGTAGGAGAATATTATTTATCATAATCTATTTAAAGCATTTAATTTTTTATATAGAATAATTTATTAGATTTTATTATAGTAGCTATTTTTTGAATAACAAGATTTTTTGAGTAATTATAAATAGTTTTCATCAAATATATAAATATATAAAACACATATAGATAACATAATATAATGTAATACAATACGTATATAATTAACTTTTATATCTTATCAATATTAATTAAAAAATAAATTTAAAAAAATATTTATGGAAAAACTATTTATGATTTAAAATTCAAAATTTGCGTCATTGGAAATTAAAATTATATTAAAAATATTTTTTCAAAAAATAAAACATTATAAAATAAATAGTAAAACAAATATTTAAAAATTATTTTGTAATTAAAATAATTATGATTAAAATTATCATATAGTTTATTTTTAGTTTTTAATAATATATATGTATATATAATTATTTGTGCAAAAGAATATTATATATATAATTATACATAAGTCAACAAGTCCATTGCAGCTCAACTGGTAAAACCACATGCGCGCGCATATGAGATTCTGGGGTCGAGCCATAGAGAAATCACTTTGAGGAGGGAATTATGTGGCGGTGACATGTGGTGGCACAAAGTGACATGTGAGAGGGCGGTAACATGTGACAGCAGAGGTGAGGTGGCAGCAACATGTGGCGGTTGTCGTCAAAGGTGGCAGGGACACGGGGAGGTGGTCGATGGTCATCACCAGCAATGACGCGGTGACTAATAAAGAGCCCATGTGTGGCATTTTAAGTTTTTTTTTTCAAAAATCAGGTCAATTCCGTCGCTAATTTGTGATAAAAATTTTTATCAATAATTAGCGACGGATTAGTAACAAAAAATTTCTGTCGGTAAGTTTTCGTCCCTAATCCAATTAGCAACAAAGGAATTAGTGATAGAACAAATTTCGTCACTAATCCGTTGCTAAATAAAAAATTCTGTTATTAAATTTCGTCGCTAAAAACATTTTTTTTATAGTGTCTCTTTAGGTTTTTAATAAAAGTGGCATTAGAGTTATTTCATAAAATTTTAAAAGGAAAAATTAATCTTTTAGTCCTCTAACTATTAATTTAGTTATGACTCAGCCCCTTAAGAATAGCACATCGCGACTCAATCTCTCAACTTTTAACTCAGTTATAACTCAATACTTAATCTTTTTTCATTTAATAAATTAATCCTTAACACAGTTAACTCCCTTTTGAGTCATCATCCAGTAATCCTATATGGCAAAAGATGCTGCTGACGAGGTTCCATGTAAGCTCCACGTTTCATCACTCCATCACCCACTCTCTCCCCTGCTTCCTCAGAAAACAACATCACACCGAAGAACTTTGTCGCTCCAACAGTTCAAGCTCCAACTCGGCAGTATATATGTATATGTGTGACAGAGTGGTGGCCGCTGGACAATTCCTAGATTCACATCTTTGTAGTGTGCAAGAACATAGGGATCCTCAGATAATTTTGGGATCCCATTTTTAATGTGTTGATGAAGTCCGTGAAGCAAGAGGTGGCATACATAGAATTTGCAAGTAGTGGTGGTAAAAACATATCGTGAGATAAATTAAAAGGACACATTCATTAAAAAAAATTATAAGACTCGCAACGTATTTTCTTATGTTGCAATTCCAGAGCTCGGCCTTGGGAGGCTTGGGCTGTTTCCGGCGTACCTCGGGGGAGAGGGTGGGGGATGAGTGATGAAACGTGGAGCTTATTTGGAACTTAGTCAGCAGCATCTTTTGCCATATAGGATTACTGGGTGATGACTCAAAGGGGAGTCAGCTGTGTTAAGGATTGATTTATTAAATGAGAAAAGATTAAGTACTATGTTATAACTGAGTTAAAAGTTGAGTAACTGAGTTGCGATGTGTCATACTTAAGGGACTGAGTCATATCCGAATTAATAGTTAGAGAATCAAAAGATTAATTTTTCCATTTTAAAATCCTTCTTTAAGTCATGTGATCTAATTACCATAGTAAGAATTGAGGTTATTTAAGTGTTTTTTTTTTTAAAGAAAATTTCTCTAGAATTAATGAGATTTAAGATTTTTTTTTTGTTTCACTAAAATGTATTGGAAATAACTTATAAATAGCATTATAATAATATAAGGAAAATCTCCTATAAAGAATCTTGAATATATAAAATCCCAATTTAGACACTTAACACTTGAAAATGACAGGGAAAGAAGTAAGGCCTGAACTGGTATTTTAAAAATATTATGAAATTACCCATATATCTTTTAATAGAACAGCAAATGATAAGTATTAAATTGACAGCAACAAATATTAAACTGGGAAATGACAAGTTTCATAACTTTTCTCTCTATTATTTTAGTTAATTAATAAATTGTGAACTAAGAATAACAAGTGTTGATTTGATAATAACAAGTTTCATAACTTATTTTGTCATAGAAGGGCATATGAGTAATTTCAAAATATTTTTATAATTAAGCCTTATTTTTTTCTCTTTCATTTTTAAGTGTTAACTGTCTAAATTGAATTGCATATATTTGGGTTTGTTTACAAAGGATTTTTCTGACAACATATTTCAAAAATCAATAGATTAGACTTGCCGTCAACAAAGTATCAAAATCATTGTATAATCATCTATGATGAGAAGAAAAATTATTTTCAATTTTTAGAAATAAAATTAAATACTACTACCTATATTTTTAATATAAGAGTTCTTTTGACTTTTATTTTGATTATAAATATAAAACTTCAATCTACTTTATCTCTCATATTTATCCTTTTTTTCTAAAATAGTTTTTATAATAATGATAGTTATAGTCAATACACTTCATTAGTAAAGATATTTTAAGAAAAACAATACCTATTTATTACAAATAACTAACCTAACTAGTTTATTTAATCTATTCAAATTAGTTAACTAACTCTTATATTAAGTATCAGATATACATGGAGCTAATTACCATGTCACTATCAAGCTATCAATCTGGCAACAACCTATACTTTTGCTATTTTTTCTCGGCTTTTTTTTTTTTCCTTGCCTAATGTGTATGTGAGTCCGCGTGCATGTTGCTGCCAAAAAAGAAAAAGAAAAGACACAGCTCGTGTTTAAGTGTAAAACTTGTGGCATATACTGTCAACTTTTAAACATGCCTCACGTGATTCATTTATGTCGGTAATTAAGGTTCGGCTGACATGTGTGAAAGTGCACTAAAAGTCAACAACATCTCTTCTTTTGACCAATCAATATAGCCACCACCTCTACAGCACAACCCGGATCCGATTCCTCGCCCATTTCCGAGTCAAACGTAGTTGTTAGGAAAGTCTCCTCTCACCTCACCATCATTCATTTTCCGTGTCAACGTCAAAAATGGTAGTAATCGCCGTTTTCCTTGACCAATCAGAAAAATTCAAATATCCAACTATTTTTTTCCCTAAATAATTATTATTTTTTGGTAAAATATGCTCATCCATCACCATCTAAAACAAGAAAAGAAATGTTGATAACATTTGACTGAATAATAGTTTTGAGTTGTTCTCAGAGTTGAAGCATCAAAGCTGATAAAGAAATTTAAAATAAAAGATGATACGTGAGCAACATTTTATTTTTTTCCCCTTTTCTTCTATCTATTCACTAAGAAAAATTGGAACACAGACTATTTCAAATGAAACAATGAAAGAAAGAATACAATGAAACAGTTTTTCGTTCCTCAGACGATTTTAATCTCCTCCCTATGACGAAAAAATGAAATCAAATTTGTCATAATAAAAAAAAAAAAGGGAAAAGCAGAGATCCTACAACTTAATTAATTCCCAGAAAAGCTGCTAATTGAAGTACTGTTGAGGATATGTGGATTGCTGCTACTTCCGCCGTTGTTGTTCTGATTATTACCCTGGATGATGGAAGAGATTGCAGCCGCGAGAGCTGCCGTGAAGTTCGGGTCACCAGTGATGGCTGCGGCGGCGGCGGCGTTACTGGCCGTTTCAGACGGGGAAGACTGCTGCTGAATTGGCCTGTCCTGTGACAACTGAAGGCCAGAAAACTTGGACTGGTTGTACAATGGTTGAACAAGCTGAAACGGTGTCGTATTAGGGCGATGAAACTGCATTATTGCGTTGTTGTCGTTGTTGCTGCCCGTGTGAGTTAGATCCAATGTGACAGTAGGGAAAGGAGCTGAAGCAGAAAGAGTGGCCATGGTTGGAGAACAAGTAGGGTTAAGAATGGCTCTGGCTAACATAGGGTTCATCCTCATCATCCCTTCTGGACTTGACATTGAACCAGACAGTAACATGCCCGCAGCCGCACTCGTCGTCGAAGCCATCGCCATAGCTGCCGGCGGCAATGGATGGTTATGATTTCCCTCGTACGTTGTTACCAATATGCTTCTGTCCTCTGCACAACGCTGAACCTGTCACCAACAACAACTATTTAGATAGAGCCAAAGTTACAAGCTAAGTGGGATCAAATTCACAATCACAAACTGCTATTTGTCCACTAGTTTAAAGGCCATTTGACAGTTTTTCCTCAATTTTTATACCCCATATATAACACGACAAGATACTATTCTTATAACGTGCGTGTAATATGAGATGTTGCTTGTTGGATTGAGAAACTTACTTGTTTGCGAACAGGACAACCAACAGCCATGGTGCACCTGTAATAAGCGCGAGGACACGGGTTTCCTTTGGCCATTTTTTGTCCATATTTTCGCCATTGACAACCATCACTGATCTACAATAGTCAATCAGAAAATGAAATTAGAATTTTTCAGTACTGTAAACTGATATCAGATAGATTAATGTTCATCAGGTGGGGATGATAATATATATATATATATATATATGAACACACCATGGGGGCTTCTGATCTAGCACGGACTGAGACGCGAGCTTTTCTCATGGTGGCTTCTGTTGAAGGGGATTGATCCATGGAATTTGAAGAAGGGTTCAGTTTCTGAAGCTTATAAGCTTTCTGCGACTCTGAATCCGGACTCTCTTCCCTACCCATTTCACTTTTACCGTTAATATTGTTGTTCTGATGAGGTGAAGCAGATTGAGTTCTTTCATCTGAACAAGAATTGGACACTTCGTCCTCATCGGCTTCCTGTGCTGCTTCGCCACTACCACCTCCAACCTCAAGAAACTGCCTCGCCACCTGTTTTTCTCCTCAGTGCCTTTTCCAACAACCTAAATCAGCACAAAACAATAATAAGACGACGTTAAATGTTGTGTCTAGTTTTCATATATAATCTGTAACTGGAGACAGATTCGTATGAATAATGACCTGATGGTCGTGTTGATTGTGCTGTCGCTGTTGGATTAATGCAGCGAGATGCATTTGCAAGGCGGTGTAGTTATTGCTCATGTGACTCAGCATCTCTTTCAGGTTCTGGTTTTCTGTGTTCATTCGCTGAAGCTCTTCTTGCAGCTGTTTCAACTATATATATATATATATATATATATATATATATATATACATAAGTTCATATTTAATTCATTACTTTCAATAATAAAAAAAGAATATTCATTTTATTTCTACAGTTAATTAAAATTATATACCTCGTTGCTCTTGGCTCGCTTATCATCTGCACCTGACGAGACGCCATGATCATCCGCCGTAGATTGATCACCCCTGGTATTACCAGTATGGAGCTGCAAACCAATCTACAGAACAAAATTACAAACAAATCAATGATATTGGAGCTAATAATGAATCAAAAGAAAACTGAGGAATATAAAAGGAAGAGAGAGAGAGAGAGAGAGAGAGAACTTACATTCACATCCAAATTAGACCGAGAAACTGGTTGAGTCTGAGGAATTTCCTTCTTAACAGATATATTGGAAAGGGTTCTAACATCCTGATGATGATGAATTTCACGAGCAGGCGGTACTGATGCTGCTGACGACGACGACGACTTGCTCGTGTAAGACGAGAAGAAATCAACTTCATTGGGGACCTTCCGATTACTGTGATCAGAAGATTCCGTTACGCAACCGAGATTCACTGGGAATCCCAAACCAGGAAGCATCCTATTGTTGGGTGAGCTAGCTAGCCTGGAGGAAGAATTCATAACTTGGGGTTGTTCGGATGACGAGAAAAAGACTAGAAAATAACGAAGAACAATCAAGGGTACCCTTTTTCCATGAAGAAAGAACAAGGATCAATCATGAAGAGAAGAGATATATAAGCTGGTATAGCTAGAGAGAAACCTGCGAAAAGAGTCGTGTTTGTGTGGGAAAATGAAGATTTTAACAAAGTGCAATGGCGAAGGGTATAAGAAGGGGCTGGGGAAGAAGAAGGATCAAATGGGAAAGGGATATATCTCGTTATAAGCAAAAATTATTGCGTCAGATGGTGCGTCAGTCTCTGAAATGTCCTCACAAGGTAACCTCTTCACTTTTAATTTCTCTTTCATCCTTGTGTGCTGAGAGGGGCATTTGGGCTCCCATTAATGGGAATCACCGATTCATTTTGAATATTAGTTTCTCTTTTTTTTTTTTTTATATCAACTCGTTCATGTTACACCAGTTCAATTGACAATGGTCAAACTTTATACATGCTCAATGCTGCAATTAAAACATGAAAAAATTGGTAAAAAATTCCTTATTGAAAATTTAATTGGTTGAAAGGATTTGAATTTGAGCAAGTGTAACTATGATCCGTGAATGCAATATATCTTTCACTGTGTGCAACATATCACTAATAATGTACAACAATTATCAATACGGAAGTCATTTGCATATAACGGAAGATATGTAGCTCTCATGGATCATATTTACACATGCTCAAATTCAGGTCCTTTTAACCAATTAAATTTTCAAACAGAGATTTTTTTACCAATTTTTCCTTAAAACATTTCATTAAGAAAAATGCTGCAATTAAAAGAAAATGATAAAATGTATTTTTTAGTTGTTTAACTTTATATAAGATTCTATTTTATTCTTTTTAATTTTATAAAGTGTTCTTTTAATTATTTAATCCTAATAACGCTAACAAAAAAATTATTATCCAAATTTTAAATATTGATAAAATATTGTTAATTGTTGAAATGTTAAGTATAATTTTCAGAATAGTAATATTATAAAAATTTATTATTTGAGACAAACAGAATTAGGATGAAAGGACTGAAAAAAATAATTTTTAAAATTATGGAATTAAACTGAAAATTGATATAAAGTTATATGACCTGTGTACTCTAGCAATTATGAAATTTAAAAATTAAGAGATGGAAAGATAAAATATTTTTTTAACAAAATATGATACTTTTTTTTTACCAGAAAAAATATGATGTTCCCCGAAATGCTGTTATTTTGTTCAGTTCGTATATTGATGGGTTACATGTAATCGCCTAACCGGTGATAATATATATATGATTTTGTATTTAAATATTTTATTTTGAACATGTTAACAAGTAAAAGAAAGAAATTTAAAATGTATGTTTGTATCAAAAATTGGAAATGTACGCGATGATGGGATGGGTTGCTCAAATAAATTTTCCAATTCTTACTACACGTAAAATATGGCTGAAATCACGATATAATTTTTGTATTGAGAAATAAATTATTATTTTAGTACGTGAAAAATGGCAATTGTTTTAGTATATACAAAACATCAATGTAAGCAAATAATAAGAAATTAACAACAACAATAATTAATTCAAATGGTTTGACATATGCTCCAATCAAATGAAGTTTCAACTTTCAGACTTACGAATGAAGAAAGGTAAAGAAACCGTAATCTTTTTTAAATGAGTGCAGGTCTTTCTGGGTTAATAATTTACTCATATGTAGTGATTCAAAAAAGAGGCAATGTATTAAAAAAGTTTTGGAATGGGTATGTAAATTTTTTCAAAGAAAAACACAATGATCTCCCTGTTTTGCGATGAAAACGTTTGGGAAAACAACTGAAAAATTTTCCATTGTAAAATTTATTGTCCCAAGGTGCTAAGAATTCATATCTTTGAGTCGATGCAAGTCATTTTCAGCTATGTTACTTTGTAACATATATTTAATTATCTGCAAATGTCTTACATTTTGCACACAAATTTTTTTTTTTGCCAACCATTTTACACACAGTTAAATAAAAATTCTTACGTTTTGATTTTTAAACAAGTTTTAGTTACCTTAACTAGACAATAAATTTTGTAATAGCTTAGCTAGAAAATTTTTTGAGGAATTTTCTGAAAAAATTTTGGGATGTACTCCTCTGGTCCTTAATATAAAACCTGATTGTTGAGTTGATTTTATTTCTAAATATAAGGTATGTTTCTTATATTTATCATTTTTTCTTAAATTACCCTATGGATACTCCCTTAACCATAATCATTATTAAAAAATCAAAAGAGTGAGGGAGGATATTAAGAAAGATGATTATGGTGTTTTAGGAAAAACATGTTATTTTTTTATAATTAACTTAGCTAATTTTCTTAATCTAATCAAATTAATTAAATAAGTCTTTTATTAAGGATCGAAAGAGCATTATATTTTCTCTTTTTTTCCCACTTCTTTTAATACATATTTCCGACTTTCTGTCCCACAACATCATAGCACAAACGCAGAGGAGAGTTTTAAATTTGAACTTTGTAGATTAAAAACAAGAGTGTGTGTGTGTGTGTGTGTGATTTAATTTGAGTTTTGAGAGATATCTCCTATCTTAGATTCACCAACCTCGTTGATCGTGATCTATCAAGCATCAACTAATGTGAATTTGAGCCAATTTGATATAATTGGTAAAACTGCTTTTATCTTAAAAGTAGATTGAATTTGAGAGCTTATTTAAAGGAATGTTGAATATCTTAATTCAACTAACATAGTCCTCCTATACTTAATGTAAGACGTAATTAATTCATTTGAGTAGATTAAGGATGTTAGTTAAATTAATTAATATGATATGCTTTTTTGTTCTTAAAATATCATAATTATCTTTGTTAATTCTTTTCCTTCCTCTCTTACTTGATTATTGTTAGGAAAATATTAATAGGTTAATTTAAAAAAATAATAAATATATGAAATAGATTTTACATATAAGACAACATTGACTCTCAAATTATGTCTTATAATTAAGGACTAGAGGAATATATAAATATACTCTCTCCCGTTCACAATGTAAGTCACTTTTAGAAGAATGACTTAGTCTAAAATATAAGTCACTTGAAGAATAATTAATATTTATTTGTCAATTTTGTCTATACATAATTAATCCTTAAATGTAATTTCTTGTATTTTTTTGGGTAAAATTGTAAAAAATTCAATTAAAAATACATTTAATGAATTAACTATATTTTTTAATATTAACGAGGCTTAATAATAGTTAGAGTTTTTCTTTTAAAAAAAATTGGAAAAAACCGGAGGATGGGACCAGAAATGAAAGGATGAAACAGCGTGAAGAAAGGGGATTGACCGCGTCATGAATGAGAGGAAGAAATTAAAACCACCGCCCCGAATCGTGCGGCGCGTCCCACGTGACCCAATTCAACCCTCTTTCTCTCTCTTCACTGTGAGTAAATCTCCCAAGTCAACCTTTTTGACGGACATTCCCCCGCCCTCCTGTGAGGTGACCGAATACCGGAGGAGCAAGCAACCCTGTCTCTGTGCTGGGTCCCACCTCCCTTCACCGGCATCCCCCTCGCAAGCCTCGTTTCATATTGTGTTGACTCCACCTGTTGTCGCCCCATCTTCTTCCTACAACTAGCTCAAGGTTGCTTACAAGAATATTTAATGTAAATTAAAATAAAATTCTCATTATATATTTATTTCGTATTTTATAAATTATGAGTAAAAAATTAGGTATAAGTTATTTCAAAACGGACTCTAATACTAAATAACTTGATTGGCGAAAACTTGTGACTCACGTTTCGACCCACACTTAGTTCTATTTATATAAGACAGAGATAAAAAATTTTATTTATAAATCATGTTATTAAACTTTTAACATCAACATACTTTTCTTCCTCTGTATTTATTATTGGATGGATTGTTACTTTATTAAAAATGCATATATTAAATAATAATAAAGTTATAAAATTATTACATTTTAAATAAAATTAAAATTAATAAGGTTTGAAGTTTTTCTTGGTTTAGATTAAATATGTTGAAAGTGGCTTTTTTTTTAATGCCAGAAACACATGTTGAAAGTGACCTGGGAACAAAATAGAGAAGTACTATATTAAATATATTTATAATTTTCTCTAAAATTTCCATCTTTTAAATTTCGGTGATAAAGATAATAAGAAAAACTCTGAAATTAGTGAGGATAGTTTAGATAAAAATTAAATGAGAAATGTACAAAAAACTGATATTAAAAGAACATCTAGAATCAAAACAAATGACTGCTCAAATAGGCTTCCTATTTTAAACCCCGAGAAAGTACAATGTGTGTATATAATTACCCTCCTATAAATAGAATCATTTGATCATATTCACATGGAAAAATAGAGAATATTTTTTGGTTCTAAATGTAAATCAACTCATTATATTTACTACATGAATATACAATTTTACCTTTAAATTATATATATTAATTTTAGTAAAATTTAAGACAAAGTTAATGGGGTTTATTTTTTCTATTGATTCTAATAAAGATATGTTGTAAGTGTCTTATAAATAGAACTAAGAGAGTGTGTGTACATATTCTAGTTCTTTAACAAAATATTGTACAAATTCATGATACTCTATCGGTTTATTATAGATTTGAATCTTCTCATTACATAAAGGATATAGATGAATTTCATTGTTCTCTAATCAAAATTTGAATAAAATGTTAATATGTGAATATGATTAGTTCTTTTTTATCATATACAAAGCATCTAATTTTTTAAGTTACTAGAGTGGCATATATGAAGACTTGGGGTCAATATGACTACAGTGTTTTCCCTTTTTTTTATATTTTAATTTCTTTCATTAATTAGGTTTACATGTAGCTTTTAACTAGACATGTTTATTTGTGTATTTCAAAATTTGAAAAATGAATTGGATTGTTTACAATGTCGGTAAGTTTTTATATCTAATGATCATGAGGCAATTGTCTGAAAGGTGACGAGTATAAATTTGACATATATAAATTAATAGTGGCAAGTGATTATTTGATATTGAAAACAAAAGAAAAGTTTTATGTCCTCTAGCTACTTGGATTAAAGCTGTGTGAAATGATATTATATTATTTATGATTTATAATCATGTAATGCATATAATGATTTCCATGAATTAAAAAGCAAGCATGAATCCAAACGACTTTTATT